CTGTGACTTCTTTTCTTTTCATTCCTTCTCCATCATGCCCCACTTTTCTTACTCCAGGCATGCAGCATATAGTATAGTGGTTATGAGCACAAGCTCTAGAACCAGGTTGCCTGGGTTCAAATCCCAGCCTAGCATTACACTCTGACCCCAGGCAACTTCCTTAACTTCTGTGCCTCAGTTTCCTCATCGGTAAGATGGAGGTAATAATATGTGCCTCATAGAGTTGATGTGAGGATTAAATGTGGTAGTGGAGTACGTGTGAAGAACCCCATCTGGTGAGTAGTAAGTGCTCAGTAAATGATAATTACCATTATGAAGGCTATTATCTTTCATGGTCCCCCTCTTCCTCATCAATTCTTCCATCTGTTGGACATTCTCTAATGACTTTCCCCTGCATTTTTTTCTTACCAAGGCCTCTTTGCTTGTTACCTACTGTCCCTTCTCCTTTGGCCCCCTTGTCTAATCGTTGTCTTCCCCCCATCCCCTCACACATGGCTCAGATTCTTCCTCTGCAATATTCCGTTTCCTTTGGAATCTGTGGATTCTCAGAAGGTACCTTTTTCAGCCATTTCGAGCTTTTCTTTTCTGAAAGCCGTTGCCCCCTTCTGTTAACGTGGAAACACTCTCTGCTGTTTGCCCCACAAGTTGTCTTCTCACGACTGTAGTGTTTCACCTGACTGCACGTTATGTTTAGCGCTCCCATGAGCTGGCTTTGTAACATATGTTCAGTTGTTCCCCACCCTAGCAGTGTCTCTTCTCTACCCCTTGATTAAAGCACCTGATTTGTGATTAACACCTTCTTTCCCCACACGTGATAATTTGGTTTCTACTTCTTTATCCCTAATTTATCAATGCATGGACAGGGTTCCCATTGTTACAGCATTGTGTGGGCGGTGCAGTTCCTAGGCATGGCCACCAGGTGGCAGAATGGTTCCTCCACCTAAGCCTCCCTGCCCTTGGGAGAGGTGGGAGGTTGACTTTGGTCAGGGGAAGAAATATTTCAAGGCTTCTGGGAGGTTTCTCGCAAGACTAGAAGAATTGGAAATTACAGGTTGAGCTTCTCCTATCAAAGAATATTCTCTTCTAGAGAGTTCACCCCTTTGTTGGTTATTTTTGCTTGTCAATTATGCAAGTGTGTGTAACCATTATAGAAAAATTAGAAATACCAATAAGCAGAAAGAAAAAAAAAGTTACCTGAAATCTTACCACACAAAGGTGATATATCTCCTTCCAGATATTTTGCCATGCAAATCCATATGAATAAAAACATAGTGTATGTACGTAGCTGTTAATGGAAACATCGTTGTTTTTGTAATGTCTTTTTATCACTGTACAAAATATAGTGGGTGTTCTGTAATGTCAGAAAGCATAGATCTATATGATTTTCCCCATTTTTGTATTTTTTTCACATTACATGAGTACATGCTTGTACAAAAAATGTGAAAACATTAAAATAATAACTTGAGTGCAGGGTTTTCCAATTTACAGATTTATCTTTTTGTCTTTTCGCTGCGCCACACAGGCCCTCGGCGGTGAAAGTGGCAGTGAAAGCACGGAGTCCTAACCACTGGACCACCAGGGAATTCCCTTGACTTACGGCTTTGAGTTCTGTTCTCAGGCTTGGGAATCTCAGGGACAGGAGTTACAACTAACAAAGTTTGTTGAATGAGAGTATTCAGTGCTGTAGAGATCTAGGGAAATGAGCATTTTTCTGGATGAGCTTAAAGTACCTTTAAAATATTCATGCCCTTTGATACAGTAATTGCATTCCTAGGAATTTAGCCCAAGGAAATCATCTAAAATATGGCTTTTTGCACAAGGATGTTCATTATAATTTCATTATAGTGAAAAACCAGAAATGATTAAATGCTCAAAGCAGGAAGATGTAAATTATGGTACAACTGCATCATGGAAAATTCTTTGGCCGTTGAAAATGTCTAAAAGGAGTTTTTAATATTAGAGGAAATGCTTATGATAAATGCTAAACAGATTCAAAATTATTTAGAGAAAGTATTTCAACTGTGTAAAATGTGCAGAAAAAGGACTAGAAGGAAATATGCCAAAACGTTTAAACGTGGCTTCCTCTTGATTATAAAGTTAAGGGTAATTTATTTTCTGATTTTTTACTTTTTACAAAGTAAACAAAACTTTAAACTTCCAGAGAATCTGTATTACTTGAAAAAATATTTTATAAGTAGGTAATATACAAAGACTTTATTGTAATAATTGAAAACAAGGGGACGTATGATGAGAAAAAGTGAAAGTCTCCCATCCCCAAAGGTAACCACTGTTAACAGTTTACCACCTAGCCTTCTAAAAATTTTATATACCTGTGTACATATACAAACATATAGTTGTGTTTTTTCTTTTACCTCAGTGGGATCGTACTATGAGTATTTTTCTGCAACTTGCTTGTTCCCCCGCCCCGCTAAAATGTCTCTGATATCTTTGCACCTTGGCATATGTAGGCCTGCTTCATTTTACAGGTGATGCCTTGTATTTCATGATTTGGATAACTGGTTTATCTAAGTGTCCCATACTGACAGACACTTCCCTCGTGCCCTTTTCCCCACTATTTGAAGCGATGATGCAGTGCAGACCCTTGTACAGGAGTGTGAATATTTCCTAAGGAGAGGTACATAGAAGTTGAGTTGCTGGATCAGAGACCATGTGCATTTCTGGTTTTTTGTTTTGGTTTGTTTTTGGTTTGTTTGTTTGTTTTGGCTGCATTGCCACAACTTGCGGGATCTTAGTTCCCTGACCAGGGATCGAAACCGGGCCCCGGCAGTGAAAGCTCCAAGTCCTAACCACTGGGCCAGCAGGGAATTACCTGCATTTCTGATTTTGATAGATGTGGCCTGTGTTTGTTAAGATGATATAAACTTGTCTCTTGAAACCAAGACTAGAGAATAACAGTGGTGTAAAACAAGGTAGTTGTTTACTTCTCTTCAGCTAACAGTCTGAGTGTAAGAGTCCAGGGCTAACAGGGCTCCAGAGCAGCAGGGACTCGGATTTCTTCTCTCATGTCGCTCTGCCATCTTCAACACGTAGCTTTATTCTTACGGTCTAAGGTGACCACTTCCACTCCTCCATTCATAGCCATTTTCTAGGAAGGAGAGAAGGGTAAGCTTAGGGCAGAACCCAGGAGTTACACTGTCTCCAAAATTGGCCAGAACTTAATCATGCTGGCCATACATAGCCTTGATGTGCTGAGGCACCTTTGTGCCCCGCTAAATTTCTATTACTAAAGGAAGAAATTTTATAAAAGATATGCAGGACCTCTACACTGAAAACTACAAAGCATTGCTGGATGGTGCAAGTCAGCCAAAGGCAGGGTTCTAGCATGTTGGTGGGCCATTGATATTTTGTATATATCTATTCGCATCCATTTTTTCCATTTGGTGGTTTTCCTTTTTTTCTTACTGATTTGTAGGTACTCCTTTTTTTATTGTGGATATTAACCTTTTGTCTTTTATAAGTGTTCTATTTTCTTACAGTCAGTTTCTTATATTTTAACCTTGTTTTTGTGCCTCCACATATTGAGGTTTCAAAATTGTATCAAATCTGTCAGTCTCTTTCTGTCTCTGGGTTTTGTCTTGCTACTATTTCTTTAATAATCAGAAAAATAAGAAGAATATCCAGTTCAGAAAGAAGACAGAGAAAGAATACAAAGTAGCAGCAGAAGCATGGGTAGCTAAATTACAGAGATAACCTAAAGTCTCACATTCGTTTTTTAAAAAATTTAATTAATTAATTAATTATAAATTTATTTATTTTATTTATTTTTGCCTGCGTTGGGTCTTTGTTGCTGTGCGCGGTCTGTCTCTAGTTGCGGCGAGTGGGGGCTACTCTTCGTTGCAGCAGGTGGGTTTTTCATTGAGGTGGCTTCTCGTTGGCGGAGCACGGGCTCTAGACGCGCGGGCTTCAGTAGTTCTGGCACGTGGGCTCAGTAGTTGTGGCTTGCGGGCTCTAGAGTGCAGGCTCAGTAGCTGTGACACACGGGCTTAGTTGCTCCGCAGCATGTGGGATCTTCCCGGACCAGCGCTCGAACCCGAGTCCCCTGCATTGGCAGGCGGATTCTTAACCACTGCGCCACCAGGGAAATCCTCACATTCATCTTTTACTCTAATATCCTCTTTAATAGGCTATCTCCATGGAGCTGTTTGAGGGACCTGGGCTTTGAAAACTGACTAAGATTTAGATAGGGAGAGGAGAAAAGAGGAGGTGTTCCAAGCGAAAGGAACAACCTAAATTAAACCCTGGAGGCACAGATAAATGTGGGTGAAGTGGACTTGGCTGGATGAGGCTCATATGTTGGGAACAGTGGGAAATCAGCTGGATAGGTAGGTTGAGGAGAGTCTCAATCAATAAAGTGATTACAAGTGAACATTGGGATTCAGAGAAAGATGTCAAATGCAAAAGGGTACATAGCAGCCTTATCAATAAAGGTTTTGTTTTGTTTCCTTAAAGGAAACAAATTAAGTATCTAATAAAAGGGAAAAAGGGAAACGGTTGAGTCAATTAGGGTATAGCCACATGCTAGAATACTGACATTGAGAATAATCATTTTTGAAGGCTGCATGGGAAAACACAAAAATTATAGTAAAAAAGGATGGTTAAAAAGCATGTAAAATCATAATTATGATTACAACTATTTAAAGAAACATGCATGTGAAAAAAGACTAAAAAGGAATACTTTGAAATTAAGAGAGGTATATTTGGATGATGAGTGATTATTTTTCTCTTTTAAAGATCCTTATTTATTGTTGTCATTCTCTATTTATAATATTATTAAAGAAGCAGGTGTTAGTGGATCAGAGACTCAGCAGAGGCTATTCAAGGCTTCCTGAAGGTGAACTAGGGGCCAAGGGCTGTGTGCCACCTGGGAGGAGGGAGATCAGACCCTTGAGATGCATGACCCAGGAGAAGGGGCTCCATTCCAGGGCCTGCCGGTCCCTTGGTCAGTGATAAAATGATGAAAGTCCTTTCTTGCATTCCAGGGTCTCCTCATGCTGCTACAAAACCTACCTACGATACACTGGGGCAACGAAGAGATTGGGCTGCTCCTCGCTGAGGCGTATAGACTCAAGTACATGTTTGCCGACGCCCCCAATCACTACCGCCGATAGGTGCTGTCTCCCCGCGGGGACCCAGACTGCCCCCATCTCTGATGGCAATCTGATCACTGTGGCCACTGTGCGAGCCGTGGACCCCGGCCAGGAACCACTCCTGCTGTAAAAAGCTCACATCCGCCACCCAGGTCTTAACTTTTTGGCGTGCCTGTCCACCACTCCATGTCTCCAGATGGCTCTCCTGGACCACTATCAGTATTCCATGACATGTGGATGGGCCCAGCTCTGGGAGAGGACAGAAAAGGAGGTACAGGGTTGTCTGCCCCTTTAAAAGAAACTGGACAGAAGAAGGGGAAGGCTCAGGGTCTCCAGTCACATTGCCCTACGTGGACTGGCTGTCTCTTGCCTCCCAGCTCCAACTGATACTGTTGCTTTTTTGTGACATAGTTTGATTTGCTCACAGGTCAAGAACGCCTTATGTTTTCAGAAGACTCCTGGCCCCTCCCCTCTACCCCCAATTCCTAGCCTTTTCCCTTCTGCCCAAGTCTGAGCCAGTGAGGGGCAGCTTTTTACGACCATTGTTCTCAGATGGAGGCGGCACTGATGCTTGTAAGTCTGGGAAGAGGCCTACACCCAAGGGCTAGGAATTTCATTTTTCCTTTTCTCACCAGACATCTGTATGTGTGCCTGCGTCTGTGTGTGTATGTGGGTATACACACCCATCAGCATTTAGTTACACGTCTGAATGTCTGTGTCCAGACTATCCCCATTGCAACCAGCTGGGAAGGGCCCCAGTGACCACATACACAAGCATCCCTTGAGAAGGATCAGGGCGGGGGAGGGAGAAGGGGCTTTTTACCTCTCCAGACCCTTTTTCCATGATGACCCACTCCAAGATATTATGTGTAAATTGTGTTATTATGTATATGGGTAAAGATGTATAAATATATGTCTTCTTTGTAGCAGATATGATTTTATATTTATAATGTGCATCAACATGTGAAAGCAATCTAGGTCACTAGCACAAATGAAGTTGCCAGGCAGGTGGCTTCAGCACCTCCAGGTTGGTTTCTGGGTGCCCTCCTGTGAGGGAAGTGAAGGGGAGTCTGCTAGAGTGAGCACAGCCAAGCAGATGGAGCTGCTTTGAAGACCGGGTGGCAGCCAACCCAAGCATCAGTGTCTCAGAGTTTTCTCTCCCTGCCCCCCACCCCTCAATCCCTGCCCCAGGCCTTTGTGGAGCATCTGCCGTGCTCCTTACACGTCTTCAGCGGTCAGAGCTCCCCACCCTTCTCCCCTAGCAGCCTCCCAGAGAGAGGACTACAGAGGCAGAAGCCCTTCTGCATGTTTTAGCCCCTGCCTTTCCCCTGGAAGCTGGGGAGGGCTTTTGTTTTTACATTTTTAAGTCAGCATTGTATTCAAGACAGAAGCTGTGACTGACTGTCAGTGCCAAGGAGAGGGGTTCCTGTGTGTCCCTGGGGTTTTGGGCTCTTCCCAGAGAGAGGTGTTTGGTGTCCCCCACTGTCACCATCACACCCCACACAGCTCATGAGATGTGTGACCTGTGTTGGATGTTGGGTGTTTGGTAGTGAAGAGGTGGCAGACAGCCGGCACCCTCTTGGAAAGCCAGGCAGTTTTCCCCTGTGGGTAAGGCCCTGAGCCTGCCAGTGAAGCCCACCACACTGGCATGTTACATTTCTCATCGGGAGCTGTTTCTCAGGCATTCTTTCTAGCCCTTTCCTTTTCCCCTTCAGTGTGCCTCAGTAGTCTCCTTCACAGAGCGAGAGGGCTGTGACCCTCCCTCGACGGACTAATTAAAGAAAGACACCTGTGTTCCCAAGTGGTGGTTTTATTTTTTTAGTTTTTATGTTTGTATGGGAAATTGTGGTTAAAGTGAAAGAATTGTAAATAAACAGTGTATTTCCTCCTCCACTGCTGATTTTTCTGCCATGGATTTGTGTAACCTGGAACCTAACGTCTCCTTTTCTCAGGTTCTTCGTGCTGACGCCAGTAAGTACGGGGGAGAAGCTTTCTGTAGGGCAGGCAGGGGACCAACAGAAGATAAGGCAGCCTCGGAGGATGCAGCAGACACTTGCTGAGCACATCCTCTGTGCAGGACACTGTGGAAACTACAACAATGAGTAACGTGGTCCCTCCTAGCTGACGTTTATAGGGCGCCTTGCCGTGTGCCAAGCACTGTGAAAAACACTTGAGGATTATTTAATTTATCCAAAAAGGAGTATATAATGTAATGGAAGTTAGAAAATGGACTAGAATTTCAGTGCTGTATGAAAGCCTAGAGATATCTAGTTCAACAACCCTCACTGTTCACAGAGGAAAACCCAACCCAAGGCCAAGGAAGGGAGCATCAGAATGAGAACTAAGAGGACAGGCCTTCCAGCTTACCTGCACTGTGTTTTTCTCACCAAATCATGCAGAACTAAAATGTTTTCAAAGACTGGCTCTCCATTTAGGGTTTTCATTAGGTTTTGGTTTTGGGGTTGTTGGTTGTTTTTGTTTGTTTGTGTTTTGTTTTGTTTTGTTTCGTTGGTTGGTTGGTTTTTCTCTTGGTAACCTTACTGTGAAATGTCTCAAGAAAGGCAGTTGACCGCACTTTTCTTCTACAAAGAATAGATTGGAATGGTGGTTTCTCCACCTAGAACGTCTTCCTGGGAATCCCTGGAGAGTGTTTCTTGGTTTCAGTCATTAGGAGCTATATCAGGATTAGATTCAGCTACATGTAACACAAACCAAAAATAACAGCAGGGTTTACACAACATGGGAATTTACTTCTCCCTAACATGAAAGTCCAAAAGTAGGCAACCCAGGGCTGGTGTGATGAGTCTGTTTCACAAAGTCTTTAGGAATCTGGACTCCTCCAGGTCTTCATGCTCAAGGTGGCAGCTAGCACTCCAGCTACTACATCCACTTTCCAAGCAACTAGATGGATTAAAGAAAGGAGACAGAAAAGAGTGCAGGAAATGTGTGAGCAGTGTTCTATAGAAGTTTCCTGAAGGCTGCTCCATAATATCTCCTCTTACAACTCACAGGCTAGGACTTAGTCCCATGGTAGGTCACACCTAGTTGCAAGGGAGGTTGGAGGATTAGTCTATTCCAGGCCACCATTTGCCTGGCTCAGAATCAGGATTCTATACCATGGAGGAAGGGGAGAACAGATACTAGGATTCAGGTAGCAATCTGTACAATAAGAACTTAGGAAAATAAGTTGAAAATGGAGACCAGACTTTCCCATAAGCATATGGGGGTGGGGGGTAGATCTGACTGAAATTCAAGTGATTGTTCACGATTAACCTTAGAATTTAACCTTTTTCATAAAACATGGACAGTCGGGACTTCCCGGGTGGCACAGTGGTTAAGAATCCACCTGCCAATGCAGGGGACACAGGTTCGAGCCCTGGTCCGGGAAGATCCCACATGCCGCAGAGCAGCTAAGCCCATGGGCCACGACTACTGAGCCTGTGCTCCTAGAGGTCGTGCTTTGCAACAAGAGAAGCCATAGCAATGAGAAGCCCGCTCGCCGCAACTAGAGAAAGCCCGTGCGCAGCAATGAAGACCCAGTACAGCCAATAAATAAATAAATAAATAAAAATTAACAAAACGAAACAGAACATGGACAGTATTTCTACTTGGTATTATTTGGACCAAGACCATTAATTGTTCCTGAGGCTGGTAGAGAAAATAACTGACCTGGACTAGCCTTCATTCAAAAATTCTGTTTTTCATTTATGTAGGAAGTTAATCATTTTCTGAAATATGTTTGATCATGATTAGGAAATTGGTGAAAACTTTCAAACTAATCCTGGCATACTTTGACCTGTAGTTTATCTATTCTTTCTGCGATCAAAACCTCTACGGTTCTACTTAAGTAGGCCTTACCTCTGTTTTTATTCATCTGTGAGGGGACAGTGGCACAGATTCTTCGAATAGTGACCGCATTTGCTCCTAGAGGCATGAATCTCATTTTAAGCTTTTGGCTTGTCTTGGATTGGACTTTCCATGTCAAACAGCTTTGTAAAGCTTCAAGGATTGGAGTCAGAACCTAAGGCCCAGTAACTGAGCCCTTCATTCGTCTCCTCAGGACTTCCAATATTCCCTTACCAGTTGGAGACACTTTTGATTTATTAGACTCACGATGGAAAAGATGAGATTCACAGAGGATCAGAGAACATAAAGCACATTGTACAAGACCAGACTCTTTGGAGCCTGTGCCAGCTTGCCAGGATAGCCACAGCTACAGCCGATCAGAGCATGCCCTTATTTTGGCAAAAGCTGAGTTAGAATTATTGGAAGCAAGGAGAATCCCTGTTGAGTTTGATTCAGCAGGTGGTTTGTGAACTGTGGCTTCTGGGTGATGAATGTGAAAGTCCCTGCTTGAACTGATAGCTGAGGTGGGGAGTCTGGGAGCCAGACTCGGGGGACTCACTGCTTTTGCTGTTGGGATACCACGCTTGTCTCTGTAGTGACCGAAATGCACCTGTCCTACCCCACCCAGCTATCCGAGAGAGGAAAACCCAGACCTTCTCTTCAAGCCACTGGTCTCCAAAATTTTTCTCCATCCCTTTAACCTATGTCTTTATATCTAATGTGGGATTCTTAAGACAGGATATAGTTGGGTCTTATTCTCCAATCCAGTCTGATAATCTCTCTTTTTTTTTGATTTTTGCATTTAGACCATTTACAGGGAATTCCCTGGCAGTCCAGTGGTTAGGACTCTGCACTTCCACGGCAGGGGGCACAGGTTCCATCCCTGGTTGGGGAACTTAAGGTCCTGCATGCCACACAGTGTGGCCAAAAAAATTAAAAAATAGACTTTTTATGAATGATATGGATATGGTTCGATTTAGGTTACCATTTTATTTGTTTTCTGTTCCTGTCTGTCCCCTTTCCTGCCACTTTTTGGATTATTTGAATATATTTTAGTATTTCATTTTAATATATCTATTGACTTTTGGTTATATCTCTATACTTTTTAAGAGGTTGCTCTCAGGATTATAATATACATATCTAACTACTTGCAGTTAATATTTTATCACTTCAAGTAAAATGTAGATGCCTCACAACTATATAGATCCTTTTACCCTCCCCCTTTTATGTTATACTGTAGTTGTTGTATAAATTATGTCAAGGTACATTGAAAACCTTACCAGACACTGTTACAGTTTTTGCTCTCAATAGTTATACATAACTTAAAGAACTTAAGAGGAGATACTTACAATGTATGTTCTTCCTTAATTCCTTAAGTTCCAAGTTTCCCTCTGCTATTATTTCCCTTCAGCCTGAAAAACTTCCTTGAGCACTTCTCTTAGAGCAAGTATGCTAATTAATTCTCTTAGTTTTCCTTCATCTGAGAATTGTCTTCATTTTGCCTTCATTCCTGAATTTATTCTCTCTGGATATAGTTATTTTCTTTCAGCACTTTAAAGATGTCCCACTGTCTTCTTGCTCCCACAGTTTCTAATGAGAAATCCACAGCCATTGAAATCATTGTTCTATATCTGATTAATCATTTTTATCAGACTGCTTTTAAAAAAAACTGTAACAATATGTACATGTACATAATATAAAATTTGCCATCTTGAGCATTTTTGGAAGGGTGACCTGGCAGTCTAGTGGTTAGGACTCGGTGCTTTCACTGCCAGGGCCCAGGTTCAATCCCTGGTCGGGGAACTGAGATCCTGCAAGCTGCACATTTTATATATAAAATTTGCCATCTTAATCGTTTTTGAGAGTACAGTTCAGTAGTGTTAAGTACATTCACATTGTTGTACAGCCATCACCACCATCCATCTCGAGAACTCTTTTCATCTTGCAAAACTGAAATTCTGTACCCATTAATAGCTCCGTATTTTCCCCTCCTCCCAGCCCTAGCAACCACCATTCTCTTATAGTTTCTGTCTCTATGAATTTGCCACTCGAGGTGCCTCATATAAGTGGAATCACACAGTATTTGTCTTTCTGTGACTGGCTTATTTCACTTAGCATAATGTCCTCAAGGTTCATCTATGTTGTAGCATATGTCAGACTTTCTTTTTTAAGGCTAAGTAGTCCATTGTATGTATATACCATATTTTGTTTTCCCATTCATCTGTCAGTTGGCTTGCTTCCATTTTTTGGCTATCATGAACATTCCGCTATGAGCATGAGTATATAAATATCTCTCTGAGACCCTGCTTTCAGTTCTTTGGGGTATATACCCAGAAGCAGAATTGCCAGATCATATGGTAATTCTATTTTTAATTTTCTGAGGAACCACCATATTGTTTCTCAGAGTCCTTTTAAGACTTTTTTTCTTTTTCCTTGGGTTTATGCGTCTGAGTGTAGGTTGTTTTGTTTCTTTGGTTTTTGGAAGGTTGGTTTGTTTTGGCATTTATCCTGTTTGGGGTTCACTGAATTTCTTGAATCTGTAATTTTATGTCTTTCACCAAAATTGATAATCTTTCAGCTATGTCTTCAAATTTGTTTTTTTTCCTGCACCAATCTCTTACTCCTCCTGTGAGACTCTGCTTATAGGAATGTTGGACCCACAGTCTCTAAGACTCTTGTTCATTTGTTTGTTTAATCTTTTTTTCTTCTTTCTGTTCTTCAGATCTATCTTCATCTATCTTCAAGTTCATTGACTCCTTTTCTGTCATCTCCATTCTGCTATTAAACCCATACAGTGAATTTTAATTTCAGATATTGTGGTTTTCGGTTCTAACATTTCCTAAGTCTTCTATGTTGAGCAATTTTGGATTGTATCCTGGACATTTTGAATACTGTGTGTGAGACTCTGGGTCTTATTGAAATCCAGCTCTCTTCCTGTTGTTTTGTTTTGTTTTGTTTTAGCCACACTGCATGGCTTGCAGGATCTTAGTTCCCCGATCAGGGATTGAACCCAGGCCCTCGGCAGTGAAAGCACAGAGTCCTAACCA